ATTCTCTAAATTGACCCTTCTCAACGCGCTTATACCAAGTGCGAAAAGACAGCTATAAAATATAATTGACAATGAGTTCCTCCAATCAAAAATACTCTGGACAAGAGGTATAGCGTCCATTGACCAATCAAAACTCAGTGTTCTTGGACAAAGAAGTAACCAAAAGTTAAAAGCCGGTAGATATAAAAAMGTGAGAGCTCTTGTTTGAAAACTGTCTGAATTAGCAGCAGGATTGTCGGAGTTTGAGAAATCAGGAGTCGTGTTTCCCATTAGAATAAATCGTAGAGAAAGAAGACATAATGATGTGATGATCAAACACAGGACTCGAGGGACAAGACCACCAGATATAGCCTGAAAACATTAAAGTATTGACATTAATATCATGATTCAAAATCAGGGTTCGTACATATTTTTACATATAAAATCCAAGGACTTTTCAACGACTTTTTAAGGATTAATTTTCAATTTTCAAGGATACCAATTACAAAGAGAAAGATACAGTTAACAAACTTACTAGTCCTGTGTCTTACCAAACAGAACAATAAAAACATTGTAGTCAACTTTGTTTAAGAACTTTATCCATTGGAACATATTTTTTCAATCTCTATTAATTTCTTTGCAACAGACATTGCCAAACATTGCTGTACAACAGACATTGCCAATATGATTGAAAGACTGTACGAACCCTGAAAATGGCCTATGCCCAAACGGCATCCCTAGCGAGCTTTTTTATGCTTTGAGATAAAAAAATATATATCGCAATATAAGCAGAAAAAAAAACTACTGTTTATTGCTCCTACTGCCGTAAGATTTTATCTTGAAACTAGAGTGATGGAAACGGATTGCGAAGAAGAATATTTGAATAAACTTCATTTTCAATTATTCTAAAAAAAGAACAATCTAAGAAACGACCGTGACACCGCATTGAATGCCGGGTGAACATAGCCCTTTAAATTTTGTCGTATGTCCTTAGCCTTGTCAAGTTATATTATAGCTCAATTCTAACAGGCTCGTTAATTGGCGGATTTCATGAGAAAAGCTATGGTTTATTTCGCCGTTAAACCAGCCTGCTGTCTTGAAAGACTTTTGAGTCTATTAAAATGGTGGACGCCGGCCCAAATTTTCTGCTATTTTATTTCTGTTTATTTCGCCAGTAAACCGCTTCAAGCTATCGTTTATTGCTTAAAGAATCATAACCACCCGTCGTACCTTGCGCGCTCGTATTATTGTTTACATACGTTTAAATGCGTCAAGCATACAATAAATTATAGATTGATAGTACCTGTAAGGTACATAGTTAAAGGTATTTCTGTTCAAACTGAATGGAC